GGCTTGAAGAAGAATTACAGTTTTGTGATAAAGTTTATGGAACAATTGCTGCTACACAGTCACAAGAAGTTGCAGTGCCTGGACCAAGTGAAGGTCGTTCTGTCAAGACTTTAACTGAATAACAAATATGTAAAGAAATTGCCATTTGTAAGCATATTTTTAAAATGTAGGCTTCCTGTATCCTGCTGTTCTGTCTCTATGTCGTTGTGCATGGAATTACCTCTTATCTTAGATAACATAACGAGGTTATACGACTTCAAAATGAGAAACGTTTGTTCCTGAATGACAAAATACATCTGTGAAGAAAAACGCGACTAGCTGATTCGTTGAGTAGTTTTCCACAAATGCAATTTTGACACCACGTAAAACATTGATATACTACATTTACAGGTACGCAACATTACTTTAAAATGTTTCATAACATGTTGTTTACCAAGAAACGTGACTGAATGAGTGATACGAGAGTCTATATTAAATTAATACATTACACACCTACCACAGAACGTTCTGATTTTGATATCTACATACGAGGACTGTTCAATTAAGACTTATAATGATTTCTTGTAAAAGTTTCGAAGTCTTGATGAAACATTCATTTATGGTGGTTGGTATCACTGGCAGGTGTGCGACAGCGTTTACAGTTACAGATCGCCACGAGTTTAGTTGTGATTGTGCTGTGACTCCGATTACAAGCTACGTCTGTCTTGCCCCTCCTCCATGTCACACATTCGTGAAGATGGGTATTCAAGCAGAACAACGCACCGCACTTAAATTTTGTTACCGCTTAAAGAGATTTTTCTTCAGTCAATGGCAGTTCGGTAATTCTTGTTATAGTGCGTGAAGATCGACGAGCTACCATTAGACAATTGTCTGATATGCCCAGAACATCCTTAGGGAGTGCACACACTATCATGAAGCTGTGGAAATCTTGAGCCGTGGGTTAGGTTGTATGATGCTGAGAGCAAACACTGCGTCTCTTCAAGCTTATCAAGACCAGAAAAAGCTCGTGTCTCCCAGTCAACAGTTAAAGTTATTGCGGTAGTGTTTTTTGATTGTCGTGGAATGATTTTCACGTACAAAGTCCCACCTGAAACAACTGTCACTGGGGCTTACTACTGTTACTGTTCTCAAAATCCTCGTGGACCACATCGGAAGAAAACGACTGGAGCTTGTTGGGCATTGGATGCTTCAACATGACTAAAAGGATGACTAATGAGAAATTTAAAATTATGAGAGGAAGCAATCGACACCTAATTTACAGAACTACCCATGGATTAACTTGGACGAACTGAGGAATGCAACTGATAAACCTGTCAGGACCGCCGATCGGAACACGGGACCTCCCAAAACTACTAATCACTCTGCCGCGACTTTCAGTGCCTATCTGTATGTGTGTTTGTGTGTCTTTATGTATGTACATATGTTAAGCGTGTTTATACGCATGGTTACGTGTATATATGCGACACCTTAACAAAAATAGGCCTACGTGAAGAGACACAAACACTTAAAGTCGCTTTCGAACTGTAAATATTCAATACAAGACGTCTTAGCACATACCGACAATACCTTCTTCCAAAAACGTGTTTCTTAATACCGGTACATGTAGAATTATGCGCTCCAAGTAACTGTAATCTCTCTTCCTTCGGACGAAGAGATGTTATTTTCTTTTTCAAAGCAAGCAGGAATAATGGACTATTTTCTGTTCGAATTTTATACACTTTGTACAGTTTCATTACAACGCAAGGAGATGCGCTGGAACGCATAAGACACGGCATACTCATTTCTAACGGAATTGAAATTGGGTTGGATGGAAGATGGAGGCTGCGTACAGCTTTACGTATGAGTCAAATAAGAAGCAGCTTAGGGCACCACTTTATGAAAGGCCTGAAAATTAAATATGCTCATATACTTTATTCAGGGCACAGGAAATAGGCTTCAGCTTAACACACCTTTCTTCGACGACCAGTTCTCTTTCCTTCAACGGAAAACTTGTTTTGGAATTTCTGTCATTAATTCTTTACATGTAGTCTAACCATCAGGCTCTCTACGCCATAATTTATCTTGTATTCAACATATTTCTAATTCTCTTCGTGTTAATTACCCCTAATCCTATGCAGCACATGAATGATTTTAGAAAATAATTTCTGTGAATTAAATCTTCGCTTCCTTGTCCCAATTAGTTTAAAATGACAGTACGATCACCAGACGTTCACCTGGTTAAACGACAACTCATAACCTTCCCTGGGGAAATTATTTAATACCTGCTAGTTTCAGCATCATAATTCAATTAATTAAATTATTTTTACCTACAACAGCGAACGTAAGTTTCATAACACTGTTACTGGGATGTGTCTTGTAATCGGTAATATTCTCCGTTAGTTTATTTAGATGCCTGAGAAGAATAGCAGTGCCACATTGTGATCCTTATTGAAACAGATTATCTTCGCGACGCTGATATTAACCTCGGAGGAAAATAAAACTTCCACATAAATATTTTTATAAAGGAGACCGTGCCATCAAAATCAGCAACAAGTCATCGCCGCCGAGGATAAAACTTTGTTGGCATTCAGCATGCAGAAACAATATTCCGACTAAGTTACAGTTGAGCCGAATGGGACGCACTCCAGGTGCGGTTTAATGTGAGCCTTGAAAAAAAATCGACCGGAGTTTACAATTTCTATTCGTATTAATAATAATAATAATAATAATTCATATTTTGGCATAGACATATATTAAGTATGTTTAGGCATTTTTGTTTTAATGTTTATTAAACAACTCTTTATGAACCACGTAGATTAGAATGAGAGGAAGGTGGTGAACGGCGTAAAATGAAAGAGGATGGTCTCTTCTAAATTCCTATCCTAACACTCGTCTGGTATAAAATGTGATATCTGAAAAAATTTAGGGCGTAATAATCAGAGGTTACTTCATTCACACACAGAAGAAGGCAATGGCAAACCACTTCTGGATCATCTGCCAAGAACGTATATGAACAGGTCCCAGTCCGAGAAAAGGATGGAAGGATCCTGTTTATATGGACCTGTCGTCAGACGGAACACTAAATAAATATAAAAATAAATCAGAGGAGCTGAGAAAAATAAAGTGGATAAACTTAAATGACTAACTCCACTGGGGACACTAGCCACTGTTACTGATAATCAGGCTCAGCTATTGAAATACACTTTTTATCATTTAATAATGTTCCATCAAGTCTGTTAAGGACCACGTCAAGATAGTAGCGTAAAATAGGTCACAACCGACTCATTTCAAAATCGTTCAACATTCGTGATAAATTTCCCACGCCATACAACGCTACATAGCTTCTTTGACTGAAACAAAATCGTTAAAAAACCTAGGATTAACTTTCATGTTGTGTGCCAACGAAGCACATGACATGTAACAAACTCCATTGATTTCAACGTAAATTTCTCATCATGTTTCTGCATACAGCGATTTATGAATGATGCTGTAATTAGTATTTTTCTCACGCCTTGAAGCATTGTAGATACGCGGTCTGAGCCGTGTCTAGACCACACGAACACCGAGATTGTAGGTATGAACCCCACTCGACTTGTGGATATTCGTCGGCGTTTTCTGTGTACGTAGGGGCCTTGCGTCGGGCTTATTGGCCGTTCTCCGTTACCAAAAGTCTAAACGAATTCATAATTCCTGACGTAAAACTGAATTGGAGCAGCCAACAAAGCCTAATCCTTAAAAACTGAAGCTGCACTACGTCACATAGCATTTTTATTTCAGATGATGAAAAGGTCATTACTTGTACTTGAAAAGGAAGTAATAATTTTCAAACATAAATAAGAATAAAATGCCGTATTAAATGGGACTCCAGATTCAGACCTGACACCATAAAAGCTTAATTACGAAAAAAAAACTGCTTAGAACGACCATCTTTAAACACGTATGCCGCATACGCAAAGCCAAAATTAATCAAAATCAATTTATACGTCGGTTACTGAAAACAGAATGCCTAAATTTAGCTGCTGGTACAGCTTAATGAGGGCAGAAACGCATATATTAGGCCATAACAGGTCGGCCGTTTGTCCTAATTCCTTATAAATTAAGGCAAACCTGATGCCGGCAAATAATGTACCTTTATTACGATACCAGCCAAGTTCAGGGTCAGAGATGAACCCCCTATAACATGAAAGATAATTCGGAACTTGGTACAAGCGGTGACCACGTATTTCATTTTTCTGTCCGGTTGAAGGAAAGAGAGGACTAGGAAGAAGACTGATACAGCTAACCGACGACCTTAAACAAGGAAAGAAGATGACGTTCCAGGAATTAAAGCGAGAAGCCGAGAATAGGGACAACTGGAGAGCTCTTTTTGGGCAGAGCAATGGACCTGTCGTAAGACAGAACACTTAATAATAATAATAATAATAATACCCCACCAACCCTCTTATCAAAATTGTACCAGGGGTTCTTTTGTCGGAGGTACAGCGGCAGGAGCGTGAAGGTGACGTCATATCTTCATACAGTGCCGAGGTTATGTAAGGAACTACACCTCCAGTGTCCTTCACATCGTCACAGCGTGCGCTTAATCAAACATTCAATTACTAACCTTATGTTTGAGCCATATTAGCACTCACGTAACGTACGACTAAACTGAACTATGCTTACTGTAACTTAAGCCACTTCTGAATAATGAATTGAATTATTCTTGGTTTGTTCACCAACGCTTTTTCAACTGTATAGGTTACATAGCTTCAAATGGCGGCATGTGAATTGATAAGGAAGTAAAATAAAGCGGACATGATCTTTATTGAAATAGGCCTACTATCCCAGCATTTATATGCGGTACTAAGAAAATAATAAAATATGCAGTGGATACATCGATATCAAGGCTCAAATTCGACCCCGGAACATTCTTAATATGAGATAACGCAATATCCAACCTGCAAACGACAAGACTAGGTAAAAACATCACAAAATCTTAAGCGACCGTATTATAAAGGTGTACCGAAGCTGACGTGCCCTACCTGGCTTGTTGCTTGTGCAGTCGAATGTTGTGCTGGCTGAGAAACTCCTTGTTTACCAACTCCAGAGCCATGTCCACGGCAGGTCCAGCCCGTTCCAGGTCAAATGGGGAATCGAGGCTCGACGCCATAAGAACGCCAACATTATACACACGAACCCCCTCAAGGGCTCGTGAAATGTCTGAGGTCAGTACACACTTGTTAATAAATAAAGTCGCGTAAATGAAGATTAAATACAAACTATCTCTTAACAGCGACCAAATGTGGGCTTTCGAATCCGTCTTCTCCATTCAAAGGCTCTGATTTTATACCGACATGGAGTCAAATTTAATTAGCTGTCACAGTTATAAAAGTTAAACTTGTCACTCGGTAAGACACAAGAGTCCAACCGACCTGGTCATACGAAAGTTGGGGACTGTCTCTCCTGCTAGTGGAAAGTGCTGCCACCACCAGAGTAGTGACACAGAGAACAATCAGTTGCTATGGTTACAAGCTTGCGCTTCTGTCCAGCGCTTTCAAATACAAATACTCAAAGCCTGACCATAGACCGTCATTTGATTGAAGATGAGAAGCCTAAATAGAAATTACCTTGGTTCAGATCCAACCAAAAACTACGTTTTCAGCGTTATGAGTGGTTTATAGCAGTGTTTCTCAACCGCTGGGCCCCGCATCCTTGCCAATCCGTGAAATAATGTACGCCAGTCCTGAAACTCAAGTCCAAACTTTTTACATTGCATGTTGAATAAATTTCGTGTCATACACACATACAATTCTTTCGTTTCTTCGTACCTGGTCTCACTTTATGGCGAGTATGCTATAACCAGTTTCAAAGTACAAAATACTTCCAAGTCCATCGTTTGGCCGTTACTTGGTAGCCGTTTAATAACAAATTATCAGTTTTATCATTTCAATACAGTTTATTTTTATTTTTGTTTCCTTCAAGGGCTAGATACTTTGTGGTGGATATTACCACATATTTTTGCAAAGAGGTCTCACCAGGTAAGTCACTTACAGTTACTTGTCTTTCCAAAACATACCGATCTCAGAATACCAGATATTTCTACTTAATCGCATCATTTTATATGTTATCCTTCATCATTTTAATTGTGAATGAGCAATGAAGAATAACCCCGTATGCTCAAGTGTGTACGGTTCGCCGAACCGTACTTCTCCAGACGTGAGGACGGCTCATACGTGTTCGCCCTGTTTGCAGTTGTGCGTGTTAATGCCTGTGCGACGTTAAACGGGGATAAATAAAAAAATCCCTTCGATTCTAATATTACATAACGGCATCAATTTTATATTATAAATATGAGATAAATTAAATTAAATTTGCTTATCGGTGTTAACCACTAGCTGAGGAATATTAAAAATAAAAAAATATTAATAAATGACTAACATTCACAAATGTTAACAATTAACAAAAAAGTTTAAAATATATTCCTGGCTCTCAAAGACTCCTTTTATGGTGAGATTTACTACTTTCAAATGAAAGCGTGGCCATTATAAACAAATGTAGTGGCCCATTAAATGTAACGATACATTTGACTCGGCATATATAAAATGAAATTGGACATAAATCCTGGTCAGAAATGCAATAATTTCTGTATTATTTTACCAGCTTTTCCGGAGAATGAGGTAATATTCCACAATCATAACCTCATATATCCGGCTCGTAGGCCTTTTAGAGAAGTCGTCTTGACAGCATATCTCATTTGTTTCATATACGGCTAATTTTACGATATAGCTCGCATTATATAGCGTGGGTTGATAGGGTGACTAAAGAATAATGGATTGGAAATGATGTGAAAAGAAGCGAACATGGCCTGATTTAAGATGCTATCGTAACAACTGCCTGGAGGGGATGAGAAAAACCACGGAAAACCTGTCAGGACAGCCGTCATCCAAGTCGAAACAATACCTCATGGTACAGGGAATGTAACTGGATTAGTGCAAGGCTTTAGTTCTGTAGAAGGAGATATTTAATTAAAAATGGCCCAAGTACAAGCCGGGATAACTAGAGTTCAATTATCGACACAGCCAACAGCGACTCTTCGCCATCATGTTCAGGTCTGCCATTGGTCTCACCCAGTCTCTTATCCAACAGACACAGTAGGTTCTCACAATTTAGGTAAATCAGACGAAGCGCGATGCTATTTATTTACACCTGTCTACAAGTCTTTGTCGCGTAACGCTGAAAAACAAGGATAACTATGTTTTCTTTAATTAGACTCGAATCCGACTCTCCTCAGAATTGACTAAAATCGACAATGTACCTGTTTTTAAAACTTCCGAACTACTAAAGATTATACACACATAAACAGTTTTAACACTTATTTTGTATGAGTGTAAAACATGGTATCGTGCCTTGACGGAAGACAATAAACTACAATTTTTTCAAGAATAAGATCCAATGGAATTAAGAAGTATGACGTAAGTAAATATTTAAGTTAGTTTTCTATATGGCAAGAAATATAAATTTACAAATTCATCTTAGTACTGTTAGCATAATCAAATCTTAAGACACTCCGACGAACTGGGAAAGTGGTTGGGTAGTCAAACAGATGAAGAGAGACGTAGACAGCAGACATTCATACACACATACGTTCATGCATTCTACGAGGTGCTACCCAAAAGTTCAGGGAATTTGCCCATAAAAAAATTGCTTATCATAACTCCTATTTTCCACCGCCTCCTTCGAAGTAGTCGCCTTTGGGAATGGATACAGCGACCCCAGCGTTTTTCCATGATTCCGTGCATCCCTGGAAGTCTTCAAGTGTGAGTGTTTTAAGCACCTCCTGCGATGCTGCCGGGATCTCCTCAATTGTGTCAAAACGGCGGCCTTTCAATCAAAATTTCATTTTGGGAACAGGAAAAAGTCGCAGGGGGCGAGGCCAGGCGAATAGGGTGGGTGGGGCATCACTGTCGTGTTTTTGGAAGCCAAAAACTGCCGAAAAACGAGCGATGTGTGGGCGGGCGAGCGTTGTCGTGGTGGAGAACCCAGCTGTTGTTCTCCCACTTTTCAGGACGTTTGCGCCTAATGCCGCTTCAAAACTTCACAACAAAACTTCCCGTTGACAGTTTGGCCATGGGGGACAAATTCCTTGTGGACAATGCCTTGGATATATATAAAAAAGAGATCAACATGGACTTCACATTGCTCATCGTCGTCGACAGACGTTCGTCCATCCTCTCGCCTTCACGGCTGTTGGCACACTAATTCACAAAGGGTACTGCTCGCCCCATCTAGCGGCGGCAGGCCATTCCACAACCGGTTCGCGAGTGGAATTCAAATTCCCCGAACTTTTGGGTAGCACCTCGTACGTACGTAAGTACGTACACACATACACATACATACACAGAAGAAACTAAACAAAGAAAGCAAGCAAGCAAGCTTGAACATCAGTTTAAAATTACAGACATTTTCGCGAATATAAAAATTCAATATTTGTACCCGACTTTGTTTTTAAAATGACGAATTCCTGTATACGCACAGTCGAATCACATCAGCTCCAGAAAAAGGAGACTCTGGCCCAGATCAGTTATCAGTATTACGATTAGGCTACTATATAACACAACTGTTTTGAAATTCCCTCCGAGGTGCTCAGGTTCGAAACAAGTTCAATTTGAAAAGAAATGTTTTTGAGTAAGGGATATTTATTTTCAAAATTTTCATGTACATTTAAAAATCGTATCGTAACAGGACTTGAACTAAGGAGGGAATAAATAAGTGTCACTAAAAGTTAATTCTCATACTATGGATATGAAAGTCCTTGACAATTATCTATGTATTTATGTATAGTACACAAATGTTCGTATACCTGTCCTCTCCTCTTGTCTGCCTAAAGTGTTTTAAGCCTCTTCTAGACGGAATTATAATGAAAAGCACGCTGATTCTAAATGCTTCTGTATAAAGTTTTTGTATGTTAAAAAGTGGCGTATAGATGTTATATTTTTTGTTACAATATTTGTGTTGAGACAAAGATGGTCATTAATTCATCTTTCTCCGCTACTCAAGCCCTCCTTAGCCAAAAAATAAATAAATAAAAAGCCATAACTGAGAAGAATAACCACAAATTGCATTATTTTACGCAAAATTTTCCGATTTATGTTTCGGACACTTTTCCTAATGTTAAAAAAAACAAAAGATTTATTGTAACTTGACTAAAATTACGGTCTTTGAAATTGCTGTTACCGTAAAAATGTAGATGGGAATCCATAACTAAAACGGAGCTGTAAAACATGTTCGTGACAAATTTTTGCCTAAACAATGCACAGTCTGAACAATCCTAACTGATATTAACTTCGGTTACTAAAATAAAGAATATGAACCTGTAGATTGAACCATAAATTTAATCAAATACGTCTCCGTTCTACGTAATATTTTCTTATGCAGTCTGCTTACATTGAAATAATGATCCACTTCTATTGTATGTATATCGCAATCTGAATTGAATAAATTTTAACGGGGCATAGTCAAGGTAAATGGTTGTGAACGAAACCCTAGTGCCGAAGAAAAGTAATATACGATTAAAACGTACATAAAATCAAATTCATTTCGACTCAAATTTGGTAAAAAGTTGTTTATAAATGTCATCAAATAACACAAATGCAGTATTATTACAATAAAATAAAAAAGTAAGCCGCATAGAAGTTATTTTTTTATTTCTTGATTTTCACATTACTGTAAAAACCTACAAACTATTGTACGTAATGGTGATTGCATACTTTTATAATTTATGGTTTCCTGAATTAATATATATCGCTTCTCAAATCCTAGCTATATGGATATAGGGGTTTTCTTCTACGTCACAACATGGTTCTTTCGGTCTCATGGTGCAGGTCGATAACTGCTCACTCCTGCAGTATCACAATCACTGCGCGGTTTCAATGAGCGTCGCGTCCACTAGCAGCCAAACAACCACCAACCAAAATCTAACTAACGGCGGAGTCTTGCGCAAGCGCAAAATATCATTCCTTGCTGAAACCATTCTGCATCTAAAAGCCGTTACCAAAAAACTGTAACTTTGGCTACGTTTACATTAACGGGATTGTTGTAGCTGAAGGCCTTTATGTGTTCAGACTAGGGGATAGCTATTGGTGGGAGAATAAATCTCATTAGGAACTTTATTCTTTGTGAAAATACCTTTGGTTGGGTGATGGCTGGAAGCTGAGCCCAAATTTTTTTGGATTGCTTTGGCTGAAGGCCTCTGAAATTTGGGGGAGGAATCATTTTGACTAGGCTTTGGGTTGGATAACCAGGGTTCAGATCCTGGTAGGCAGGATCCTTCTCTCTGCCACAACATTCAAATCAGCTCGTAGGCCCACTTGGTCTCCTGTCTAACAGATTCTGAGGTTATTTTCTTGGGAATACAGTGGCTGGAATGTGAAGTTTGCCTTCATCTAGTGCCAAGGCTGAGCATGTGTAGAGCTGTATCTCCTCTCCCTCATATGTCCATGTCATATTTACATTATCTTGTATTTTAAAGTAAGGAGTGATTTTTCGTAGAAATACAAAGGCAAACAAATATTATGAGAAGTGTGTTTCTATTATTATTATTAAAATATTATTAAAGTAATAAAATCAAGGTGGATGAGATAGGCAAGGCATGTAGCACATATGGGAGGAAACACCCAAAGTTTGGTTAAAATTCATAAGGGAAGAGGGAATGGATCTTCAATGAATCAGATTTGATCAAGGACTGGATTCATCTGGCTCAGGAAGGATAAGGACCAGTGGCAAGCTCTTGCGAACATGATAATGAATCTTTGGGTTTCATAAAATGCCAGTAAATGAACTAGTTGAATGAAATATTCAGCTTCTCAAGGAGTCTGATCCACATTAATCTTCAGCTGATTCAACAGTTCTTCATTTACTTCAAAGACAATAAATATACCGACAGTTATCATGGTTGATTGTGGCCTCTTCGGCTGTGAAACTATTTTAAACACTGATGTAATATCCTACCGCTGAACAGTTCTTGAATAAAAGATTTACATGGACAGTAAATGTTTCTCTGAATTTACCAGTGGGAGGATAATAACATAATAGTTTAATATTTTACATACTGCTCATTAAACAGTTACCTTTCGTATTCGCACCAAGGTCTATATGAAACTAACCATAATAAAGTCAATAGGACAATATTTATCAAACTAGTAACTTCTTCAGATGTGATGTGGATCTCACAATTATTCTTCTGTATCCATTGTATTTTCTTAATGTTACCATTTTTACAGTTCTTAAGTCAGTTCCATGTAGCCAACTGAAAACTTGCAGGAAGAAAAACAGACTTATTTCAGACTTTTTCAAATCATAATATAAAGTAAATGGTATAGCACAGTGTGCTGCATTTTTAGGAGGTCTCTACTACCTATAAATACAAATCAACCCAAATGTTCTGATGCTATCAAATTTCAACGTCATTACCTTCAATATTACGCAAGTACCAGGACTAATTAAAATTGCATGATTATATTTATAAACCTTTGTTTCTTCCTTATGAATTCTAAATAAACAGGATTAATAGATATATCAACCTTTAACGTTGGTATTAATTTTTTAACTACTTACCTCCCATGAAAACTGAGGCGGGGTTGTTTCATGCTGACTATGACAGGCTGGGAAACCTAAGAATGTGGTACATAGCATATATGGGCCAGATGGCAATATTTAAGTGAAAATTAAGTGGGAAGGGAACTTCACAATAACACCAAGCAGCACTTTGAGTGGGAACACACAGTATGAATCACACGTCTCAATCTGTATTGAGTATGAGACAGACTCCAGACAGAATCCAGTAACTTTCATGTTCCTGAGTTGCCAGGTCAGCTTCAAACACGAGACCCTCCCCCATGACATTTCTGCGCTGTAACGTTGTGTACACAGGTGCGTGGAAAATATTCTGTGGAAAAAAGTAGGTTCCAAATGTGTTAGAGAGGGGAGAGAATTTCAGATGTGTTCTAGTGAAAGAGCATGGTGGAGCTGAGAAAGAGTACAAAATTCATGTACAAATTGCTGAAGAGAGAAACTATTTAGGAGACATAGACATCAGTGTAATGGCAAAATTAAAACTGATTTTAAATAAATGGGATGTGAGGGTAATCACTAGATTCAAATGGTCAGAACAGAGTGCAGGGTCTTTTGTGAATCCAGTAATAATCTTCAGGTGCCATAAAAGGTTGAAGATTTCTTGACCAGCTGAAGTAATATCAAATTCTCAGGATGTATTTTGTTCCATAAAATGAGTTAGTCTTTTATGAGTTTGCATAGCTCATTGACCTTTACATGCATTTATTAGTCACACAATAGGATTTTATAGAACATAACTGGGAGACTACCGTATAAAAGAACAAAACTGATTAACAACATATGCACATTTTTTAAGAAAACTGCTCAAGTCCAGTCATTATAAATAGCATAACAGTTCTACTTACTCGCTGCTTCAGTCTGTGGGATTCTATCGGTGTAATCAGCAGGACAGGCAATTCTTCAATGAGCACTTTGGGATGAGATCTTGCTAGCGATTGTTTCTGTTTATCCCAATGAGCACCTTCCAAGTACAAACCATGTACAAAACAACCCTAAAATAAGAACCACAACGCGTAGAAAGTAAGCCTATTAAAATTTGGGTTAAATTATATTTGTGTATTTCCTAACACAGCTTTGCCCTCATTCTGTCAAAAATTTGTTGGTCAAGTCCATAAAGTTTTTATAGCATAGCCATTACATCTGATAAGTATGCCTACACTATGGTGTGGAATATATTCGAAAAGGAAATTCATAATTAAATACTGACTCACAGTGAGCCATAGGCTAATACATGCACAGAAATGTAGTTAATATAACACCACAGCACAGCACCAGATCACTATATGCCTGCTTGTTTGCTTGCTTAGCTAGGTCTTATATAAAAATAGGTGCCGTAATTGTATATTGGACAAATGGAGTTGCACACAGACTTTGTCAACAACCTGTCTCTATCACTAATGAGACTGGGGAAAAAAATATTACTAATAGCTGTAGAATATAAATTCTTACCTGATTTGGCCGTTTCTCAACATCGTCAATATCCATATATGTTGTCACAGTTGTGGACAAAGTGGATCGGTCAAGAGGCCACCCATTCTTGCGACATGCAACTTGTAATAGCGCCATCAAGAAAGACCTGGGTACATGAAGCCCTGACAGCCACATCACCATTGGTTCCCCACTTGCTGCCTGCAATACAGTTTATTGATAACTGCATGTGCACATCCAAGCATAAATTCTTATGTACAGAGTACATAATACTGTTTCTCATCCCCTCTACAAAATCAGAAGGAATTTAGTTTGTTTCCAGGAAACAAGATGTGAATCATACTAAAGCCAAGGAGAAATTAATTAATTAATCACAAATAAATGTGTTAGTTCAATATGTAAAAACTGTTAGAGACAGACTCTCTCCAGAAAATTCCTTAATTAATAAGGTAGTCTTGTATGTAAGTATTCCAGCATGTTACTTGACATTATGCAGCAATTAAAAAACTTCGACACACTTGATGTCTTAAAATTTATGATCTTTTATTACAGCAACATATTTTGGTAAAATTATACCATCCTCAGGCCAATCAAGGATTTACCAATAAGGAGATACCAATATAGCCAGTAAGCTCCTGTGAAACATCAGTCAATATATACCAGACTGCACATATAATCCAGAAGACTGACATATTAATTTCTACACGTGAAGTAACGTTAAAGTCAGCAGAACTAAACTATTATGTGATTACTATTTACAAGCGCTGCAAAATGTTTCCTAAATCTCTGCTATCCACACACTTCTGTCCTCATAATTTTAATCAAAATTTATTGCAAATGCAATTCATACAAACCTAATTTTTGTACTGTGCAAGGTGTGGTATTTTATCATAAAGAACCAGGCATACAAATAAAACAGATGAAAAGTAATGGTAGTAAGAGAACCAAGGAACATATACATATATACTGCCTCTATTTTCAAGAAACCACAATCCACTAGCTATCCATTTTGTAAACCTCAAATATCATATAACTGTTTTTGTTCCTCACACAATAGAAGTTTCAAGTTAGGATACAATTTTTTGAAATGGTGGCGGTGCCTTAAATAAAAACCAGCATGTTATTAAAGAATGGTTGCTTTATTTTACCCATAAAGTATATTGGTTGATCCTCTTCTCAAAATGGTCCATCCAAGCTCCTAATCCCTTGCAAGTATCTGGAGCTAACTTTTCCCAGATATTTGGCAGCTTCCCATTAAACAGGGAATAAGCCACATTGTCCAGAACAGCATCTGTACTGATCTCACCAGCCAGAGCCTGCAAGAATGGTCTCACTCACTCTCTGTTTTGTGTAATAAGTTAGCCTAAATAAGGGATACTGAACACATATGCTATATAGTTAAACATAGAACTGTCAGAGAAGTAAAGCATTCAATGAGGATGTGAAGATATCTTGAGCATGTTTATAATCTCACTTCAATAGTCAGTATTATAGCTTAGGTCAAATGTGAAAATTTTTAGATTCAATTTCAAATTTTATAAACCGTTAACCCTTGAGGTACCAGGCTTCTAAATCCCTGTATCCCTCGCTGACCCAATTTTTCCAAGTTTTCTGTTTTACTCAAGTCTGCCCCACAAACTGACTAAATAATTTTCATTATAGCAATTGAAGATGACTTGCCTTCCTTAAGAGATCGAGTGTCTTACGCATGTTTTCTAAGAGTAGATTGAAGCGTTCCAGTTCTTGAAGAAGTACTATTGTTGTTGGAGTGAGGCTCATCTCATAAGTCTTGCATACTTGTGCAACATCATAAGATGGTGGAATTCTCCTCATTATGTCTTTGGCTACATTATCAATAAACTTGTCTCTGCTCATTCCTCCACCAGTTCCGCCTATAAAGAGGCATTATGTATGTAGAAACAGAAAATTGCCACCATTACTACAATGATATTAATGAAAGACAACATTATATCTTTTGAAGAACGACTCTCGGGTTACAAGCTGTGTCAGGTGGCTGAATGGTGAATAAACCATAACATCTGCCAACATTTCGAGAGCCATCTCTACTCTCATCCTCAGGACTCCCATCAGCGAGTGCACTACAAAAGACCAGATTTGTTAGGCTGCAGCCCTGAGGATGAGAGCGGAGATGGCTCTCGAAACATTGGCAGAAGATATGGTTTATTCACCATTCAGCCGCCTGATGCGGCTCGTAACCCAAAAGTCTTTCAGCAACTTCAGTCGCCACGATTGCTTCACTTTATACAATGGTACATGTATTTTCTCATCACATTGTTCAAGATGTTTGAATTGTAATGCTTCCAGTAGCCACTGGAAGGTTTTAGAACTCAGATGGAACAATGTCCTGATATGATGCTATACCATCTCATAATCACAGTCAAAATAATGGCAAGCACTGCCCTCTTACTTCAGAGTCAACTAATAACATAGCAAAATAACAGACACCAGAATATGTCTCCCCACAGCGAAAAAATGTAAATGAAATGTAAGCTTGTGTAAAACAAACTGTGAAATAATGTGCACACACATGATGCATAGGTACAATATTAGAGTATATAATATATTGTGTCATGAGATACTAAAGGACTAGAATATTTTAACAAGTTGACACTTGAAAATTATCGCACTAATAGATGAGAACTGCTTTCATAATCGACTGCTCACCAGTTTGTGGCTGTAGCTCCATGAGGTGACCTATCATCTCTTTAGCAGCCTGGGTGTAGTAGCCAATCTGGACATTTGGATGCAAACCAAGGACTCCAGGACTGTTAACCAGAGGAAGTTCTTCGATGGCATCTGCAGGAAAAAGTTGTAGTTTCAACCAAAAATTCTGATAATGTGAGATTATTTAGATTTAAAACACAGGACGTGACAGGAGGATGTCATGTGTCATCTAGAGGCTGGATATTGGGCTGAATTGTGGCCACAGTTCTACAGAGATATAGTCATTCCCCTTCCCAACAATAAAAATAGCAATAACAGAAAGATGTAAAAAAATTCACGATGAGGAACCTGAACTTGTCACCAAATTGTATTTTCCAAATCAAAGCAGATGAGATGGATATGACATGGGAGAATGAGGGACACAAAAATTTAGTTGATAAATCAGAAATAAAGACACCACTTGGAAGAAGTGTAGACAAATGGGGAATATTAATGTGGATTTTGAAATGTTTGTAAAGGTGTGAACTGGATTCAGTGGCATGTGCTTGTGCACAAGGTAATGGATCTTAGATTTACATAAAACTTTGACAACCTGAATGACTGCCAACTTCTCAATGAGTCTGATACGTGTAATCAGCTATTTAACAATCTTTTATTTTCATATTGTGAGCCGGCATAGCTCAGTCAGTGTAGTGTCTGGTTACAGACTGGACGACTGGGGTTTGATCACCCCAATGGGGGCAGAGGAATTTTCCTCTAGCCTCTGCATCTCCAAACCCATTCCATGGCACACCCAGCCTCCTATCCAGTAGGTACTGAGGTTCTTTCCCAGGGGTAAAGCGCGGCCGGGGTGTGATGCTGACCACTCACCCCCATCTAGTGCCGAGATCCAAAATAAGTAGGAGCTATATCGCTTCTCCCCCCAAGCACCTACATGGCATATAGTAGAACAGCTTTTACTTCTTTATTTTCATATGACATGCTACATGTAATAGAAGACTAATGTATAAATATTTATACAAAAATAACATTCTAGATCTTAAAGACTTCCTTTGAAATGAGAGACAGTAATGCATTGTCCTTACACAGACAATATTAAGATGTTTACTTCTTCCTAGCTCACTTCTAAACTTATACAATATCTTTGGATATGTAATTCAAACAAAAACAATATCCCTGACTAATCTTTGTTTACATAATAACACTTTTTGACTGCAGAGGTCATACATATCTGACATTGGGAAAATAAAGATAGATGAAGATAAATTATAGAGAAACCTCAGTAAGGATAATCAGCTACTAGACAAAGATATGAGGCAGGTATGCACAGAATACAAGTACAGAAAATTACCACTATACTAAACTGATTGATTTAGACAAGGACAAAATTTTCAGTATTAATAGCATACTTTGAGTTGGTTTAGTTCTGTTTGGATTATCCCTGATGATGTAGGTAATCAAATTTAATGTTTAATTTCGGGGAAAATTGATGTTAATAGTTCAATATATCTACTGACAATAACATTTTACAACCTTTCAAGTTTTAAGCACCTATTGAATCTGTAATGATTTCAACAGGCAGACACTACATAATTTAATATTATTATCATATTTAAAATGTGATATTTTGGAGGAACCTACTGCCTTCTTCACCTTATAAAAAACTGCCTTTTATTAAGATTCTACTAACATTACCACTTGATCATGACATTCGTTTTTGGCACATGCTGGTAAAATATGAAACATAATTTTGCATGATGCTCAAATCAAACATTAACAAAATGACACAAAATGTAGCTAAAGCTCAGTCAGGTTTATGAGGAAAAACCTTTCTTGTGATTAATATTTGTTACTATATTTATCTTGTATCCATATTAACAAATCTATGTTTGCAGTAAATTAATATTATATACAACAAGACACGCAAAATGACAAATAACACACTTTGCAAGATATGTAGCCCTACTTATCAATGAAGCACAACTTTATAACTCTCAAAGCATCAGATAACTGTCTTTTGTTGATGTTTTTCTTATTGACTCTAAAGCTGCATGGATTTATACGCAGATACCAACATTCCAGACAAATATACTGTCACCATCTTCAGGCACCTCGGCCCTGAAAATGGAGATAATAAATCTCAGAAATTTTGTTATCTGTCTACAAGCCCACACAGCATTCTGACCCAGAACACCAACACTGACAGCTTCACTGTTGTAAGAACATCGAAACTCACTTTACCCTGGATATTTTTTGTGTACTTACTAATGTATCCACTTAAATCATCTTCCTCTGGAATTATATAATCTACAAAGTCATCGCAGTAGAAGTGAAATGGCTGAAAAGTGTGGAACAGGAAATCCCCCATGTACTCATCCATGTAAGTCCTCACAATACGCCGATCAAACTCATCTATAACTCGTCCACCATATATCACCTAAAAACAGAATATGGAACTTTATACAGGAATATGTTTTCTATACCACAATGATTCTCAAGAAAGTAACCAACCACAGAAATTCTTTAAACTTTCTTTCTTTGTTTCTCTGTTGCTTTAAATGTACCATTAATAAAGAGACAGTTATATCAAATGAAATTAACTATAGAACATTCCCAATTCAACTACAATAAATGTTCTTGGTTGGGCCTTAAACCATTCTTACATCACTCTTTTCCACTACTGATGCTGGGCTCAGCTGAAATTCCATGAATGTTCGTCACTCAGTTTTCCTTAATATATTACAGTTGACAGTTATATAGAATATGCATCGACCCTCATCTGCCTTCTTTTCAAGCTTTCTGCCCAATCATAAAGTTTCCTCTGGCTTGTATAGTTAAATTAATTAGTAAACACTACATATACGAGATGGAAAAGATAGTGTAGATAGAACGGGTGGATATTACCGTGAAAACTATAAACCTACGTGGCAAAGGTAAAAGGACAACAAAGGAGCTGCAGATTTAAACTGCTGCTTTGGGGTGACATGCCCCAGATGGGTGCGCAACTTCATAGGACACACACCTAGGTGAGTAGCTGCTGTTTCACTGCATGTAACGTCGGTACTCTTCTACCAGACTACATGGTGCAACAACCCAGAACACAGTCATCTTCAAACCTCAAATCCTACTTGTACAAGATTTGAAGAAACCTCTTCTAAAATAATGGGTAAAAATAATAGATATTTTCTTGGAACTGGTACAGAATGTTACCATAAAAGGCAACAACTCATCTCTAAATGTCAACCATTGTTAACTTACCTCACAAATGAGGTACTTCAGACTCCTCCAAGGTATCTCTGTATCTTTTGCTTCAAGTGATTTTGCTAAGTATGTTTCCAATATCTGCACACAGATGCTGAAGTCTGATTCACTGAAGTCATAAAAAAGGTTCCATCCAATCTTATCGTATTTTCGGCGTTCCTATTAAGAGCAATAAAACCACGAGATGCAATTCACTTATACGAGGAAAAGGAAACTAGAAATCAGATACAGTTTGTTGCTTACATAACTGCAGATGAATGTGTATTCAGTAGCTACCAAGAATTATTTAAATATGAACTTCAATTTGTAATTCTAAAATTATATAATACAGAAATCTATCTTATATTGTTTTTGTCATATGTACACCATCTTCTATAATTCAAAATTACAAATGGCAGCCAGCAAATTATCAACATCACTGACAAGAAAAAAACAGAGTGGAAAGAGACAGATAATATTTCATCAGAATTATTTACATTACTCCTAAATACACGTTTTGAAAAATTTGTGACACTCTTCCTATACTTAAGACTTAATAGGTTTCTTCCAGAATGCAGTAGTTTTGAACTGTACTTCCAATTTAAAAGCATAAAATTACATGATAAGCTTCTTGATTTGTGACTGACCTATGAGGTTTCATGTAATTTAATGGTATTGTTTCAAGTGCAAAGGGCCTTGACAGTGGGAATAACCACTTCTGAAACATCCATCAATTTCTATGAGACTACAGAGCACAGCCACAGTGAAAACCTGAAATCCATCTTCAGTAAAGATAACCTAAATCCTGCCCACATTTGGATTGAGTACATCCCAAATGCAAGTCTAGAGTGTTGTAATCCATTGTCAAATATTACAAAAGACATGTTAATCAAATTATTTGAATATTTATTCATGAAATGTAATTAAGTCTACTACCTGGACCACAGCATGGAAGAATGCCAGGACATACACCAGAGACCGGAATGCAGGATGGCCACAACTCTCCAAGGTCTGGTTTCTGAGCTTCATGTAGGTTCTTTTCAAGTTCAGTTTTAGGCCACTTGGTGTTTCTATCACCACTGTTTGGAATATAATAAACAGTGTTCTAGTTTACCACATCTACTTCATTCAACTTCATTTTCTTGTTCTCCTTCTATCGCGGAATACACGGCATAACAAAATTATGGGCATTTAGCTAACGTGACTAGATAAGAAATAGTTTACAGCCTACACAGGGTCTTCATGAAAGAAACTTTGAAGCCCCATATGGTTAAAAGCTGCATTGCTATAAGAAGGGAAATGAAGATCATGACAATTATAAGTTCAATAATCGAAGCGTGATGTAACAATTCCAGTGTGTTGGCACTGTTATAAATCATCTACACACCTTGACTGAACAAGCTCAATATCATAGTCCTGTCACCTTTGTGATTTACAGCATAGGAATGTACTATTTATATAAACAAAACAAACTTACCAGAAGCACTCTACTTGCCACAAATATGTAAATATCACATCAACATTTCTACAAAAAGATTACATTTGACTTTGGAATAATGGAAACCACAAAATAAAGATAACTGTTGACAAAATAAAAATATGTATAACATAGACTATTGCTGACTGTCATACCATGTGCCGTGTTCAGTTTATTATTAATTGGTGTGAAATATTATACTATACAACGTAATACAGTAAATCTACATAAATAATCTTGAAATTGTTTAGTCCAATAAAAATACAGGTCATTGGTCCTGTGTTCAAGTTAACTGTTTCACTATAACAAACTTGTTTAGTCCAATAAAAATACAGGTCACTGGTCCTGTGTTCAAGTTAACTGTCTCACTACAACAAATTGAAATTTTTCTTTGCCAGGTGCTAACCTTTCAACGATCTCTGTAAGATACCAGCAGGAAACGTGGGTGTTGGATCTGTTGTGAGCCACAGTCGAAAGTCTGGGTGAGGATTCGCTACCTGTTCCAGTTTCTTTTCTAGTATCCTCAAGAAATCATGTAGGAGGTGACAATTCTGAAGCATTAACCACTGTCCCTTGGCAATAGATATTTCTAACATTTTCAGGGCAATCTGAAATCAATTAAAACATCACTTACATACATTACTAGGGACAGAATTTAAATATGAATTGTACCTTAACTAGGTTTATTTATCTTAAGGTACAACCTCTGTACTTCATAACAGATTTGGACAGTTTGTTGACGGTCTGTCAATTTGACATATCCGTTTTCTTCTGTAGTCCAAAATGTTGGTTAGTGCTGTTTGGTCATTTTTAACTATAAAAAATAACCCTTATCTCATCTCAAACACAGAAGTACTAAACTCACAGGTCCTTGGCCTTGTCCAAGGGAAAGATGGCAGAATTTTCTCCCTCCAAATCCACAACGGTCAGCCATTTTCATTAGGTCAGTAGCTGGATCAGACCCTGCACTCAGAATGAATACTACTGGAATTCTAGGTGTACTTTGTTTGAAAATGGCATCCAAACTGGTAAAAAAGATAAATACAATGGCATGAAGTACATATTCCTGTACATTAACTCAACATGTCACTAGTCAGGAATCCTCAAAGCTTATTATAATATAGACAACTTTAGCTTTATCTTTTAGAGTTAATAGGACACAGACAACTTGAGACAGCTTAATATAAAATAAAAATACAGATGGCAACCATAAAAGCGATCCTATGTCAGTCTGCCAAAATTATTATTACTATCACCATCACTAAAGTCGTTCAAGGGTTGACAGTACTCATATTTCATGACAGGTAAGCTCAATTTTATCTCCTGTTGTTTTACAAGTGATCCTTTACACATAGTCTTAGATACAAACACACACCCCACAGTGAAATTTATACACAATATTTAGAACTTCAGTAGTTCATCTTGCTAAGTAATTTTGAATTCAAAATTCTTTTATGATGGGGCATTCATAAATATAATTTTGTAAGTTCCTACTGATGCAGTTTCATTTACTGTCCTCTTATCCTTCATTTTTTCTTTCCTGCCTATTATGTTATTTTTCTCCATGATTTGTTTGAAGTAAAAGAAAAACATTAGCACTTATGTCAGTCACATTTTGTCAATAACATTAAACTAAATGTTCTTGAGATCTTACATGAGCAAGGTTGAACAGATAAATGGGCCGACACTCAGAAAGATAAAGGAGATAGTTTAATAGGTGCTCTAATAAATAATATAAATTTGGAACATGGGCATCATTTTACAAATAAAACCTTCCATAAATATTATTTTTAGGCGTGTCTGTTTGCTGACATACCCAACGGAAATAAGAATTATATGAAACTCCAATTTATGTGACATTATTAATAGGGATAGTTGTGCAAATACACTTAAAGTTTTTCTAACAGAGATACACTAAGGTATGCTGTATCAGGACTTTTATTTACAAAATGCCATTTTTGAGGAAAATAATGTTCAATCTGAGTTTTGTGTAATGTAGGGGTACATAACCTACACATGTATTAAAACTACATTTGCTTCATACCATCTACATCAGATCCAACTTTTTACTCACCTGATGAATGGGGGTTTTATATACTCTTCCCCCATTATTTCTGTAATGTAGTTTGTTACAGCCTGGTATAGTCTGTCCACCCGGAAACACCTCAGAAGCATCAGCTTCTGGAAGTTACTTGTTTTCTGAGAGTACCCATTGGGGAAGTCCACCGTCTCAGGGTTGTCCAAGTCAAACCACTGCCAGAATTAATATATACATGTCATCATACCCAAAATCTTGCCTGCCAACTGATTAATTGTTTTATAACAAAGACTTGTCAACTGTGTTAAAGCATCAAATGGTGGAATGATTGTAAATAATGGATTAAAAGAAATGTGGAAGGAAGCAGGCATTTCCAATAAAGTGGATACTGGCATTAAGTACTGTTAATATCCTTAAAATTACTGCAAATTAAAATTGTATCCTTCTTCTTGTATGGCTCTCCGGTCCGTATTCGGTCCATGGCCTCCTCAATTCTCCTCTTCCATTCTGTCCGAGGCTTTGATTGAGGTTTCGAAACATCTTCCTTTTTACAGTGCAAGGTTGTTACCCCCAACCTGGAGGACCAGGGTACCTGTCTTAGTCTGACCTCTCCCCCTCGACCAATCTGGCTAGGGAGGCCCTACCAGAAGCTATGCTACCGCCAGCATAGCTCTTGGGATCACTGAGGTACTCAAGTTCCACCACCACAACAAGGTGAAAATTGTATCCATTAATGTTAATTTTCACTGGACATTAACAGCATAGATTTTGATTAATTAAATGTCAGAAATTAATGTTGTTCTTCATATGGTGGTGAATCCATATCCAGTCCCTCATTTGAAATTGTACGATTTTATAATTTGTTAAAATTATGAATTTTCTCACCTCTTTCCAGCTATCACTGTGAAGCTCCATGTGTTCTGGAAGACTGCCAAATGTTTCAGTGAAGTCAGTTGACAACTTTAAGATATCCTCCCAAACCTGAAAGATGGCAAAAAAATTATAACCTTCCTTAAACCAATGTTACAAAATTTAAAAAAATCGGTGGTAGCAGAACACAGTTTTGAACAGCTTATGGCCCAAGAATAGTCTCACTGAGATCTAAGTATGTTCACCCAGCATTGAAGTTGATAACTGAAATTGCCAAGCCTGTTAAAAGTAGCTTCACACAGTTTTCTCCCTAAACTGTTCAACACAATGTTTTATAACCTGTAGGAATTTAATCACTGAACCTGTCACATCAAAGCACTATGAATATTCATTTATGACACTATCATTCTAAACCAAATGGGCAGTGAGTGAACAAGTATTTTATTCCGGGTTTTACAACAAACTGAAAACAGTTCTGTAATTGAACTGTATGGGTCTGAAATGTGGTAAATGCTTGAGGAAAGAACATAAATTATAAGGCCTATAATAAAATAAACTAGCTACAAAAATATTCTGATTTAATAGAAATTTAGTAAATTTACATAATATATCATCATGATTTAACAGGTCATTTGGTATTCTTGTGATAGTAAAATATACCATAGGATATTAGGCTTAGCTGGGCATGTAGAAGACAAACAATTAATACAGAAGTCTGATTGGGAAACCTTTCAGAAAGGAGATGGTAAGATAATATTAAGATAGATCTTATGGAAATTTGGTGCGTGGGTGGGATATTGATGGAACTGTTTCTGGATTGTTTAAAATATTAGGCTTTGGGGTATTGGCTTCAAATCATTGTGTTCTGTTAACACAAGTTTTCTTATCTTACATGTGCATTTATCCATTTGGCTGGTGGAACTCTTTCAGATTTGATTACATTGATGCTCCCTTTGATGAAGAAGTTCAACTCCTTCTGCGACACACGTCCATGGCTCTGTTCCAGTTTCATTGCCATTTGGAATGAGTACAACAGTTTGTGTTTCTCAAATATACCTGTTAAAAATATCACAACAATCCATATAGCTACATAAGTAAGTCATGACAACAGGGGCAAGGATAAACTTACATAATAGACAGCTTCATAACTTGTAATCTACACCTAAATTTATTACAATAATAAAATCAAGGAGTACTCAATGGGTGGGATAGTATGCATATGGAACTTTATTGGTATAACTAAAATTGAAGGGACTGTGGGAGACCTAGAACTAGATGGTAGAATAATATTAAAATGTACTTTAAAGAAATAGGTTATATTGATGTGGGTGGGATTTAACTGGTTCAGGATGGAGACCAATGGAAGGCTTTAAGACTTTGCATGCCATAAACGGTGACCATATAAGCAAGTGCTAGTTTCTCAAGAAAGATTCTGCTCCTTTTAGGTAACAACTTATAAAATATTTTGGAAAAATTATATATAAAGAACTCTGTATGAAGAGAATTTGAATGTAGTGCCTAATGCATAAAAGAATATGGAGGACAAAAATGGTGTTCTGTGTTTCAAGCAAACTGTCAGAAAGTGACAGAATTTCATTGCTAAATGAAATTAAATCACTGCTATTAGTACTTTTTATAAAACAGGCTATTACAATCATTGATCATCCATAAACATAATCAGCTTTGGGGGCAATGTTTCACATTTTCTTTCACTCACCCATGCATCCATAATCATAGACATTCTTTGTAAGAATATTGATGATGTTCCTGCATTGCTTACTAAGTTCCGTGTCCGGCAGAGCTTCCAGCAGGGAGTAAGCAAACACTCCCACATACGCAGAAAGGGAATACTGATACATGGAACTCACTCCAGCCATATCTGACAGGATGAAAAATAAAATGGCTCCATGTTTAGCTACAGGCTTGTATCCATCTCGTAATTTATCAATGTCTTTTGCAGTCACAGAAGCTACTTCCAGATTCGATTTCACCTGATAACAGAATAATATATACTCTGTATGTTATACTAAAAATTCTTTAACCACATATGACTATAAGGAGAAAGTGAAAGGATTAATATTAAGGCACTAAGTCTACCTTTTAATGCCAATATATTCTGTACTGCACCTGTTGGTACACTTGGTAAAAATTCATATCATATAAGGCAGGAGCAGGGGTTTGAGACTATCATAAGAAAGTTTTGTAGTTAATGTTAGATAACCAAGCTTACTAATTATTCACATGAACTTCACACAAGCTATTTTACAAATACATCAAGTATGCTTACAGGTCTATTAAGGTATATTATTGTTAACAATTTGAATACAATATCCTGACTTATGATTAATGACCTCAAATCAAGACACCCAAAAATTCCCTTCCCTTTAGGCCCCTTCCAAATTACAGCTCTTATCACTTGTCTGAAATGTGATAAGAACAAACATCATGATTTTGTCTGATTTCCTCCATGCTTTCAGTTAAAATTACATAGCAAGTGCTCTGTGAGTTCCTGGCCAACTTACACTTGCACAAATGTATTTCAGAACCAATACAGCTAGTGCTTTATCATAACATTTAATCCTTGAAACTGCATACCATAAACAACAAAAATGAAATTCTGAGGACAGGATAGCAACATTTAGATATTGCAAACTATATTTCAAACAGATAGGCATTTACAGACCTGTGTTCCCATACATTAGTTTATTTAAACACTTATATTAATTATGACTATGATACATTTAATTTAACTCAGAAAGCCCAGTTTTAGAAACATCAATTTACCTTTGCAGCCTTTCTCTTGGTTTCTTCTAGAGTTTCAACCAATTCACTGTTGTTGAGCATATTCCTTGTACATGTCGATAATTCATGCAACAAGGAACCTTCTAAATATTTTAGGAGATTCTTGTTTTTGGATGTTTCTGCAATCAGTTTGTCCCTTTGTTCTTCAAGATCAGATCTTTCATTATGCACTACCATTCTTAACAGTTGATCTTCCAAACCCTGAATAAAGAAATGTACACCACATTTTAACCTAAACATTTTTAATAACTTAAAAAAATTGACAATCTGAACATGAGTGTGTGTTCGCACACAATCCACTGTGCACATGTAATGATCATTACCAATTTTCATCATTGTACACCTCAGTCCACACCTCACTGCTGCATGGGCAACATCTCTAGAAGTTCACTTTTTTTATATTTCCCAAGTACCCATGTTTCACAAAAGATAACGTATCAACATTAACAATGTTAGTGGAAGTGTAAAAGTTGTAAAGAAAAAATTACTAATGCAGAAGTCTCTGACCTTGTGATTTTACCTGATTACTGTCAATATAGGTATTCCTTGCAGTAGTTTACTTACCATAGTAGTGATTGAATAATTTATTACAGTAGTTTTAGTGTACACAGCTGGGCTGAAAACTGGGTTGGACAACTTAGTAGTCAAGTATATTCGAAAACTGGGATTGTAATCTACTTCCATGTCTCCGAGGATAATGAATGACCTCCCACTTTGAACTGAAAAACAAAGAAGAATCAAAATACTAAACTGAGTGAGATTTCAGGTTCTCGTGGTGGTGGAAATGTTGATGTTGGTCTTCTGAATTGTTGACTAAGGTCAGTGCTGAAGATGGTGACTA